ACCTTTAACATCGAAAGGGAGCCTGTGTCTTGGTAAAAAACAATACAAAAAAAAGCTGTCTCTTTTTGCTGCGAGCTGATTGGCTGAGGGACACTTCTTTTCTAGCAAATAAAGCTGAAATCAAAGGTGTGAAAAATAATTATTTCACTTAATTGTACAATATTGATGCTTTCTCTCTTGTGTTTGATTTGCCTTGTGTATGAATAGAACAATACAAATAACTTGACTTGCGTTGACAGATTTATGGATGGCAAATGTGATAGAAAAAATAGATTTGTTTTCAGAACGAGGAACTAAAGTGGTGGCCTTCTAATGATTTGCTTTCTGGTCCCCTCTAAGCGCTGGTCCCTCTGGTTCTCGGCTTTATTGCTGCGATCATGTTTTTGAGTTCAATTTATGAGAAAGCAGCTCCACAGACACTTTCAAATCCCTCATAAGAAAAGAAACTTCGACCGATAATTCTCCAGTGTGTTTTGGGCAAGATTAAAATCCAATGAAAAAAAAGGTCAAAACATTCTTCCAGTGCTGTCGGAGTCCAAAAGATTTCTCTTGTTGAACGTTGCCAAGCCGCAAAGTCCCACACAACACGTCCTTTCTGCTGAGGCGCAGACGGAAAGACCTTTTGAATTTCTTGAAAGTTCCAGAGAGTTACGGAACAAAACGTGTAGGCCAAATTATTTCCCAAAGGCTGAGGAGGATCAGACTGGAACTCTGAGAATGATACACAAGTCAAATGAACAAAGAAATATAACCGTTTCTTTTTGGCTGTTAAAAAGGATGATGAGACTATTTACTTCTGTAGTGTGTGTGTGTGTGTGATTATAGGAAATGGTTTTCTGCCATTTTTAATCAAACTAACTAATTAAAAGGGAAAAATATCTTCAGTTAAAATTGTGTGTTGAAACAAATATGAAGGCTAATACCTGTAACTCCCTGCGCTCCCTATGATACAACGCTACGTATAGTGGTTTGAAAGTTACGTACCCCAGCTTTATTATTTTTTTTGTGTCAATGTATGGGAGGGGATTGGACAAATAAAAGATTTTTTGACCAATTCCTTTTCAAACCATGCACAGGTTTTCTTGTTTTCTCTCATCATATTTTTCTGTAAATAATTGTATCTGATGCATGTTTGAAATAGATAAACAAATGCAAAAAAGCATTGATTCTAACGTATTGATCAGGCGTCAGCTGTGTGTACTGCTCTATTCATCTGACAGTTGTGGTCAAACCTGCGCGCTTGAACTTGAGAAAGAGGAATTGTCTGGAGCGTCGGACTGTAAAGAGAATGTGACATCTGACTTTCTGATGAGAGCGGCTCGGACTCTGATGTCATCATCCAACAGGGTTACAGCAGCAGCATTAGCCTTTCTGTGTGTGTGTGTGTGCATGTGCGTGTGCACGTGTGTGTGCGTGTGCTGGCAACTCGTAAATTTGTTGGTGTATTTCTAGCAATGAATTCAAAATCAATGAAAACATACATTGTATAGCTGTGAAGCTGTAGATCCAGGACTGAGGTTTTAGATCGAGGACTGGGGCTGTAGATCCAGGAAGTCTCTCCCAGGCATGACCAGGGAGAAAACAGTTCAAAGAAGTGGACTAACAAGACTGAGCACAGTCTTTCACCTTTTCCTGTAAAAAGCAAACTAAAGCCAACTCAAAAATGCTCCGTGGGTGATTAGAGGTAACTCAAACAGGCCACTGTATACTTAATACGTTAGCGAGCTAGCATTATCCACTGTATACAGTCTATTATTGTTTTCTTGAAACATTATACAGTAGAAAACAGTTATCTCTATAGACACAAGCCGGCCATAATTCAACATTGTCTAAACAAACAATATGGTTTTGTTAGTGCCATATGAAGCAACTCTGAGGAGCACAGGGACTGGCCTCCTGCTGGTCCCAGAGCTAAAATCTCGAACAGTCCTCTTGAAAATGTCAGACCTGCCTCTACTTTGACAATTTTCAAATATAGGTCAATATCATGTTTACTTGTGCATATGACTGAAAGACTATCTTCACTCTGCTCTGTGGTTATCTATGATTTGAATCCCTTGTCTGATCTTGATGTGTTTTTTTTAATTACCTGTGATTTAAATATATATATTTTGGATTTCTGTGTGATCCTTACGGTTGTTTTGAATGCCCCGTAGGATTCGAAAGTTTATGATTTAATGCCGTGAAAACATTACACCCACACATTCTAAAATCCGTCTTTTAAACCAGTTTTTTACAAGATCATAAAGAATAACTTGTTGTTTTTAACCTGTTCAAATACAAACACAAAGGGATGGAACTCACAAACGAACTCGAAGCAAAAATTAACAGAACAATAGACGTATTCAAAAGAGAAGAAGTTTATTTCTGAAACTGCACAGGTCCAGGTCATTTCTTCTTCTGCAGCTTTCACTCAACTTCAAGAAGTGTTTGTGAAAGTTAAGTTCAGTCTGCTGCATGTCCAGTCTGCTGAGGGCATTCCTGAAACTCAAGACAACAGAAGTGCAGAGTCCAAGTCCACTTCAAAGTCCACTCTGCTTCCGGAAGTACAATCCCCATTCATTTCCCCCAAAAATCAAAATACTCGAAATACAATGTGCCTCTGTCTGTTAAAGCACATTGACAAACTCTCGCCTTTCTCCCACTGCGTTCTTTGACTCATGTTGAAAAGGGCTGTTACCAACGGGAGAGGTTGGCGTGTTGTTTGAACCAGTGTCAACATTTCACCACAGAAAAAAACAAGAACATGTCAAAACAAACTTTCAAAATGAGTCTTCAAAAGTCACCCGGGGAATCACATTATCCAGGACTACAGCAAGTTTGTCATCCGTGTGGAGCAATATAAACATTTTCAAACATATTTTTCAAAAGAGCAAATTCATAAAAAGGAAAGAGCAGAGCGTGCAACAAAGCTTCATTCACCCAAACACAGCTCCACGGCTCGTTACGCTGTCATTATGCAAAGTATTGTCGCCCATTTGACTTGATGAGGCGAGTTATAGTAATGGCCAATTTATTTACATTTAGTGCTTTTAAAATTAATTCAGTTTGATTTATTTTGTCAAGTCCTAAACTACAACAGCAGTCGTCTTTAGCAGCAGACTTTACAAAGTTGTTATTTCGCTGACAACAGATCAGAGAATCAAAGAACAAAACAGGAGCCATTTGTCTACAGGGAGCAGGATGACCACTGTCCAGAAATGTACTTAATTTTCCCGAATCATAACTGTCCTTCGACCCTGCTGCATCGGAAAGAACTGAATTAAAAAAAAAAAAAAAACGGGAAAACATTTGAGAAACCTTCTGGACACCCGTACAGAGAGAGGAATCTACTCCAACAGGCTGTAAAACCAGGACTGAGGCTGAGCACATGTAGGCCTCAAGTACTTTGGTATTCAGTCTCAAAAAACTAGACATAAACTAATGCATCCTTTAAATGTGAAAATTAGGAGAAAACTAAAATAAATTGCACTTGAACATGAAAACAGAATGCATATATTGCTCCATTGGCAGACCATTTTACTTCAAATCTACTCAACTCCAGACCTTAGTGTTCAGTCGCTCCATCAAGTTGCATTGTCTGAGCATGTGCAAAACACATTAGATAAACATGGGCACTTTTACACACGCGGCTTTAAACCTAAAACCATTAAAAGCAAATAAATAGTCAGGGATTCTTCATTTTACCGTCACAACAAAAGCTTTAGTCCAGAGACCAGCTCCAGAGCGAGTGAACGTGTGCAAAAAATAACTTAAAACATGGATTATCTGAGCCGATTTGACTAGATATAGATCCTTTTGTCGGTCTATGTCTAGGTCTAGGTCTAGGATATTTAACCCAGAATGTGTTCTTGCTCATTAGTCCAATGTTAGAGGAAAAGCTGATACTATAAACTAGTCCAAAAGGCTTCAGAATCCTCGTGTGCTCAGAATTCAAGACATTTTACAGACAACATTTTACGGACAAAGCGGTGCATTCACTTCCCGGTATTGAAGAGACCGTGCCCTTAGCCAGTGGAAACTACTTCAATACAAGACGTCACAGTTTGTCCCCTAAATATGACTGTCGCTGGACGGGACAGAATATCCACACAACGCACAAATAATCACACAATAAATCCTCAACCCCAAGTTCTGCCAAGGTCACCTCTTCACACACACTAAGAACGGAGGCTTTTTGGCACAAACGGTTCTCCGCGCACACGTCCCGTTCACGTCTTCTTCTACAGCTTTTGCACAAGTTTGAGTCAGAGTTGAAAAGTGTTTGTGTTCATTAGTTGTGGAAGTAGATGTCCAGTCAGCTGAGGCCATAGCTGAAACCGTGAAAGACAGAAGTGTAGAGTCTTAGTCCACTACCACGTCCGATCCGTTCCCCGAAAGTAAAATCCCTGTTTGTTTCCCCCAAAAGAGTTTGAAAAAATCTAGAAATATAGAGAAAGAAGTCGTGCCTCTGTCTGTTATAGCACAACGACAATCTATTCTCCCCAAGTCTCGAAATTGGAAGTTATCTTAAGCTTGAATCCTTTGAGTGTGATTTAAGTTTTAGAGGCGTCCACAGCACATCTACGGCCTTTCTTTTGTGTTGTATTTGTTTTTGATGCTAGATTGGCGATTGTGACTTTGGCGGTGGGTGAAAATGTAGAGAATATTTTTTTAAACCAGAAAAAGGAGGAAGAAAGAATCATACTGTACATCATTTGTCTTCCTTCTGTAGCTGTTAGTTCTTGCTGGACAGATGTATAGACAGCATATATTATGTAAGCGCTATTCTGACATGGACAAAATAATAAATAAAAGTGTCTTGCCGTTCATCTGCTGGATAGATAGACGACCAAACTCCCTGAAACAGAAAAAAACTGTGCAAGATTTTAAGCCAAATCTTAAAGACCATGTTTTTTCCATGGACTGTAGTGTAAGTTCAGTTCAGGCCTGGTTGGGTTTGGGTGTCATTTACACAGGGGGGAGGGTTGGGGGAGTGGGGTGAGCTAGGTGGAGCGAGGTCACTTGGGAGGCGGGGTCCAGATGGGCAGGGGGTGGGCCTCCGTGTTGAAGACCACCGAGTCCAGGCTGAGCAGCTCGGCGTCGTCAGAGAAAAGCAGGAACAGGTATTTGAGCGTCTCGCCCAAGAAGAAGCTCTCCATCTTGTCCCTGGGACCCGGGTTCAGGGGGTCCCGCACGTTGTTGATGGACGTGAAGCCTCCACCGGGGACCTGTGACAATAACACTGGAGTTATGTGTGATAAGGTTTAGATCAGGGGTCACAGAAGCCGGACTGAGGCTGAGGCCGCATTAAAGGAGTCGAGTTGTCAGCTAGCAGATAATCAGACACTAACATTTCACAGGTCGCTCTACTCGGCTCCTGATAAATGTCTGAGATTTGTACTTGTTGAACAGAGGGAGATTACAACAGAGACACAGATGAATAAAGCGTTTGTGGAAAGCAGCACTTCCTATTCACTTAGAAGCACTGACTGTCTCACCTTTTCTGTTCCAAGAATCTATTAAGAGGTCGGAAATAGATAATTTTCATACAAGGCTCCATCCGATTGGAATAGCCAATACACCCACATACATAAGATCCTCAACCTCCTTTGGTTTTTCTATCGGGAATTCTCTAAATACCTTTCAACTCCCTGCTCATCTTACTAGCATTTATATTTTCTTATTGTAATACCTGTAAATACATATAAAATGTAAGCTGTATTATTCTACCGGCTGCTGTGTGTATAGACCAGTGGGGGCGGGTCCCAGCTCAAAAGTGGCCAAAATGACGTGCGCTGACATGCTTGCAATACCACCCCGGGCCGATGGGGGTGGACCCAGAAGTAGAATTAGCCAATGCTAACATATAGCATTGGCAGACCTCTCGAAAACGTCTTCACAGGATGGACCAAAAGTTGGCTCTTGGCCCAAAGCTCCGTTCCACATGTGTGTCAATGCTGAGGGGGGTGGATTTTTTTGGACCACTCTAGTTTACTTGCTGTGAGTTTTTGAAGTCTCTCATTCAAATGAATGGAGCTGCGCCGGCTGACGCACGCGTAGATGCGTTTTTTCACAATTTTCTTGTGTCTACAAAAATAATGTACATATTTTTTTAATGTAAAAATAAAAACATATATTGTACATCTCTGGTCTCTCTGCTTTCTCGCTGCTATCTCTATGTTCTCTTTCTTACTAACTAGTGATAGAAGCAAAGTTATGAGAGGGAAAGCGCGTTATCCCATCTTTTATATGAGGTGGCCTCCTGATCATGGAGCTGCCGATGACTGGTTTTTCCTGAGGTCTTGTGTGTATTGCTGTCGTCTGGTCTTTCGCAGTAGTAAGCGCTCAGCAGATTCAGATTCAATTTATTTGCCATTTATTACAGTAAAACCCCATTGGAGTAACTGTGCATGAGAACCCAGACATAGCGAATGGCGCGTACCCGTGTGTATTTGTTGAAACTCTGGAGGATGTCCCAGCCCCACTCCCGGTACTTGGGCTCCTGTGTGAAGCGGTGCAGATAGAAGAGGCTCTCCACGGTCTCCGGACGCAGCAGGTTGTGTCTGTCGGCGGGCTGCAAACACAACACGTTATTGCCGCGGCACACACACACGCATCCAACTGCTGCGAGACAAAAGACAGTTTAAGCCTCTTTCAGCCACACCAGAACAGGCACTGAGGTATTGTTCTGAAGATGTAAAGACGGAAACACAAGCCTCCAGCTCGCACAAACGAACAAAGAAAGGCTTTGTGAATAGTAAAAACGTTTGAATGATATGGCGGATCCAGGGCTTGGTCTTAGGTCCCCCCTTAAAGCTTTGGTACCTGACTTTTGTCCCTCAAGTAGTACATTGCTTTTGTCTCAACAGAAAGTACTGTAAAACAACAAATCAAAGTCTTCATCTTATTGGAAACCAAGTTATCCTTCATGTACTTGTAAGAAAGAGCCCTGATTGGCTGAGGGAGGGTGGTCTGCCTGGAGACAAGTGCATGGATAGGAATATCCCAGGTTGCTTGAGACACAATATTTTGGAATGTGGTAAGCAGTTGTCTAGGTGGTATAAAGTTGCGAAAGTTCTGAAAAAATATGGTGCCTTTAGTATAAGATTGTAAAAATTGTGCATGTATTTGTTGACCTTTTGCAATACAAAGGGTCAGAGAGAGAGACCAGAGAGCGACCAGAGAGCGACCAGAGAGAGACCAGTGAGAGAGCAAAGAGAGAGACCAGAGAGCGACCAGAGAGACCAGTGAGAGAGCAACCAGAGAGACCCGTGAGAGCAAAGAGAGAGACCAGAGAGCGACCAGAGAGACCAGTGAGAGAGCAACCAGAGAGCGACTAGAGAGAGACCAGAGAGGGACCAGAGAGGGACCAGAGAGGGACCAGAGAGGGACCAGTGAGAGAGCAGAGAGAGACCAGAGAGAGACCAGTGAGAGAGCAAAGAGAGAGACTAGAGAGAGACCAGTGAGAGAGCAAAGAGAGAGACCAGAGAGCGAGCAGAAAAAGACCAATGAGAGCAAAGAGAGAGACCAGAGAGCGACCAGAGAGACCAGAGAGAGACCAGTGAGAGACCAGAGAGACCAGAGAGAGAGCAGAGAGCGATCAGAGAGCGACCAGAGAGAGAGCAAAGAGAGGGCAGAGAGAGACCAGAGAAAGCAAGTTGAGAACGACCAGAGAGAGAGCAGTGAGAGTAACCAGAGAAACCAGGGAGAGAGACCAGAGAGAGAGACCACAGAAACCAGAGAGAGAGCGACTAAAGAGAAACCAGAGAAAGTGAGAGTGTCAGGGTTGTGGTTGTGTGTGTGTGTGCTCTCCCTCCTCCCCTCTGTGTTCCTGGAGCTGGGCGGAGTGTCTGTAGTCCTGGTCCTGCCCCTTGCTCAGCCCTCCACACCTGCAGCTCATCAGCCTCACCTGTTAAAAGCCTGGTTCACCCTTCACCATGTGCCAGATTGTCAGTTAAACTTGTTAAACAAGACCCAGGTTCGTTTTTTGGTCCAGACCTAGTCATCCTCCAGCTTTTTGCCCTACTTCAGCCTCCAGCCCTGCTCAGTCCTGCCCAGCCACCATTGCTACCTGCTTGCACCTATGTTTGTAATAAATCTTGTAATCATTGTCTGCACGTTTGATTCTCCAGTCATTACAACAGAGAGACAAGAGAGTCCTCTGAACCAATCACAGCAGTACACAAAACCCACTTAAATTTGCCACAGCCAGGCACACACAATATTTAGTGAGGCAAAAAAGTAAGGTACCACTGTAACCAGACAGCTTTTCAATTCTTTAAAGCTGCACTAACTGACTTTGGGATTTTGAAGCCGCGGACTCGCTGGCCTCGCTCTTTCTGCTCCCCGCACCCACGAAGCTATCGCCCCCCACACACCTTGTTGTTGACGGAGCTAGCGTCTCCCAATATGGATAATACATGGATATGGATTTGCACGTGGATGGTGTGACCACAGAACGATAGGAACGGGACTTTCTTTTGGATGGCTGTCTCGCTGAGTAAGCAGTAACCGGTGACGAAGACACAGAAGCTTCAGGTTAGCTCCTCGTCTTGTTGTGCTAACTCAGCCGTCTATGCTAACGGACCTGTAGATTTCTCACAAAAGTGGGGGCCAGTGGTCCGCTGTGATTGGTCACAATCAGAGACTCGAAAACACATTCTCTTCCTTGTTTCATCAAAACTCGATGCAAAATATAATGTCACGCCAGCACAAATCTGCGCTAATTATTCTTCAAAAGGACGTATATCTCAATGCACTGCATGGACATGGATAGCATTTGTTCATCACATTTGCCTTTTTAACCATCACGTTTTATCTCTATACAATTAGGCACAAAGACCGAGATAAGCACTATCATATAAAATACAGAAGTTGCCGTGTCTTCTCCAAACTCCTAATGAACTCTGGTGATTTTCATTAAGACAAGAACACCTTTTCTTTCGGGAAGGTTACAAGGCAGATATAACTAATGTGTTGTCCCCGGTGATCATTCATATCGTCTTTTAAATTGTGCTGTTGTAATGAGGAAAGAGCCAGATTTCATCAGAGAGGGACTGACGTAGAAGCCGCACATCGTTTGTCATTTGGTTTTAGTCAGCTGCGTATGAAGACGGAGCCGACAGTCAACCGGAAAAGTCTGTCATAACAAACGCTTTGGAACATCTCATTTAGCTTGTTTCAAAATGGCTTTGTAAGAAGGAAACATATGGACAAGCATGAAGCTAAAGCGGAAACTCAGACTGGATTTTAACTGTTTAAATGGTTTAGCCCCTGCATATATGTCAGAGAGACCAGAGAGAGACCAGAAAGAGACCAGACAGAGAAACCAGACAGAGAGACCATAGAGAGACCAGAAAGAGAGACCAGACAGAGACCAGATTGAGACCAGACAGAAAGACCAGAGAGAGACCAGAGAGAGAGACAAGACAGAAATACCAGAGAGAGAGAGACCAGAGAGAGACCAGAGAGAGACCAGAAAGAGAGACCATAGAGAGAACAGACAGATAGACCAGAGAGAGACCACACAGAGAGACAAGAGAGAGAGACCAGAGAGAGGGACCCGAGAGCGACCAGACAGAGAAATGCAATGAGCCTTCTGACAAACATCAGCGGGGTGTTGGATAAATTAAGTTGATATATTTTTCAGACCTAGGTTTAAACATCCTCTTCTCCATCACCCATCACCCAAACCTCCCCCTCTGCCACTCCATCTCCACATGGCCACCACCAGTGTCTAGACCATTTAGTCCTCCTTCTTAAACTCTAAATGACATTATAAAACTCCAAGCCGCGTTCTCTCCGTGGCTCGGGGCTGGAGCAGATGGAGCCCAAATTGAATAAAGTGAAGCTTGCTAATGTGATCTGAGGTGAAGGTGAGAGGGAGGTGTGCAGAGTCCCAGGATGCAGACTCTGAGATATCAAAGATCGAGAAGAATTTTACATCATTATTAAGCCAAGTACTCATATGACGGGTCCACATATTGCAGCCGCTTGCAGCTTTAATTGGTTTTATACATGTCTCGGGATCTGGTGTATGTCACATTTTCTAACCTTCAGCGACAGTGCGAAATTTTCTGGAGATGGAATGTACGATAGTTCTCAGGGGAAAAGGACAGATTGACTTAAACTTGTGGAGGTATAAAGCCAAATGCCATTTGAAACATGGAAGGGGCCTGGTTTCCTTGCACGACCTAAGTCCTCGTTCTACAAGCGGAGTCCTGGATCTACAGCCTATCCGAGGTTTGTCATGTTTTGTAGTCGTTCCAGGACATTTAACAACATGAATGGACAGTAGTCATCCTGCTCCCTGTGAAGAAATGGCTCCATGTGTTTGTAATTATTGCATTTACTGTGTTTGAACATTCTCTGATCTGTTGTTGGTGAATCAATAGCTCTGTAAAGTGCTTCAAGATGACTGCTGTTGAGATGAAAGGGTCTACAAAAATAAACTGTATTGAATTTGTCGGCTGTGCTTTTAGCAAAACAAGACATACTGATTCATAATCCTTTCAAGAAAAACTACTTTATCAAATCTAGGGTACCTATATTCCAAACCACAGACAAAGAAGCCATGTAATAACTTCATTCAACTATTCCTGGTTTGTTTAGTAATATGTACAGTCTGTTTTACTATCATCCATCCATCCATTTTCTTCCCCTTAATCCACATCTGGGTTGGTGGGTGACAGTCAGAGCTGCATCAAATTCACAGAGCACCAGCCCCTCACTGATCCTGCTGCAGGTGGTGAGTCCACAGGAGGACAGCTGTTCTGTATAGCCTTGATCTTTCAGCGGGGGATTCAGACAAAGTGGGGTTAAGTGTCTTGCCCAAGGATGACAGCAGACATCAGTGGGAGTTGGTGGAGAAGGTCTCATGGTGGGCTCGAACCCACAACCTTCAGGCTCAAAGGCCAATGCTCTACCAACTGAGCCACTGTTCTACCTCTGCCACATCTTTAAATCAACATTTTCAAACTGAAAAGTGGACAACCCTCATTCAGCCAAGTCCAATAGTGAATTACATGGCTCTTTCTCTAAAGTACACAAAAGATAACATGTTTTGTAATATGGTAGACGTGTTCTGGTTACCTTTGTTCACAAAATTTGACTTTTACAAGACTCCCCCTCAAGCTATTGGAAGAAACATGTGTTATTTATGTCTTTTTAATTTTTTTAAGTTAGCTACCCCAGCTTTAAACTAATAGCATGTATTTCAGTACGGCAGTATAGTATAGTTAGCGGAGTCCCTCACCTTGACCAGCACATCGGGGCCGGAGCTGGACTGCAGGCTGAAGTGTACGATCTCTGGACTCAGGCCGGTCTCCATCTGCGTGTACATCTGGTGGCAGGTCTCCATGAGCTCCAGGGCCAGCTCCATGTGAGCCGCAGGGAGGCCGTGGTGGGCCCCCAGAGCCAGGGTCCCAGGCAGGAAGCAAACCAGGTGGTCCTGGTGAGAGGCAGGAGGTTAGATGCCCACACACATACAGAGATGTGAAGAGATTTTCAAAAAATACTGTTGGAAATATATTTGTAATTCTTACTAACCAAGTCGTTTTTTGAAAAACTAGGTTGATTTTAGTGTCATACAAGTTAAGTTTCACCTCTTCTTGATCAAATTCTTTTACATGGACAACCAATAAGGAATCCACACATTTCTGTTCCTTCATCCATCCATCCATTTTCTTCTGCTTTATCCGTTGCTGGATCGCGGGGGCAGCAATCATATGTTTCCATTTGTTTTCATCCATCCATCCATCCATTTTCTACCCCTTAATCCATTTCTGGGTCAGGGGAGTGGCCAGAGATGCCCCTCACTGATCCTCCTGCAGGTTGTGAGTCTACAGGAGGATATTTGTTTTAATTGATATTGTATTTGGGCCCGTGTGTGTGTAAGTAATTAAACTCATATATTACATGTTCATATGTTCTTGTAAGCATGAAATTGTTGACTAAAGATGATCAACGATATCCTCCTTTGTCCTTGCTTTTCGTCTGCAGTGATGACATTCAAACTGGACATAAATGACATTAAAAAGCTGTACACAACACAATCTCTTACATTTGACTTGACCAAATCCAGAGCAGACAGAAAAGTTCAATTTTAAAGGACGAGGAAGGAGGTTTTAATGAATGCAGATGCTAGACTTGACATTAAAAACTGTAGGAATGAGATTCAGAAGAACTTCCTTGGGGAGTGGTTGCTTGTGGGACATAGGCAGCTCTGCAATCTCACATAACATTAGTAAGAGGTAAAGCAGGGATAAGCAAAGTCAGAGAAGACACACCTATGCATGTCGGTGAACGTGCTCATGGACCCTTTTGAGTGGGGACATGTCTGCTCTATATCATGTACTGGTTTCACTGTCTTTTGTTTTTTATTATTATTATTTCAGACAACACAGTCACTAAACACACACTCACAATATGTACGTACAAAACATACAATACAAAATATTACACAATGACAAAAACCCACTTACCATGCAATCGTTTTAGTTGAATTACAGAAATAGAGGAACTTTTAAATAGTATTTTAATTGTCCAAGTTTGAACTCTGGTTTAGATGGTGTCTGGGGAAAGAATCTATTTAACTGTAAAAGTGTTTTACCAATCGCCTGTTTCAAAGCTGAGGGAAATGTCACCGGAAATGAGATGTAGGGACCTGTCATGAAGAAAAAACCTCCAGTTAGAATCACTTTTTGACTAAATTTTGGACTATACAGTGCCTTGCGAAAGTATTCGGCCCCCTTGAACCTTTCAACATTTCGCCACATTTCAGGCTTCAAACATAAAGATATAAAATTTAAATTTTTTGTCATGAATCAACAACAAGTGGGACACAATCGTGAAGTGGAACGACATGTATTGGATAATTTAAACTTTTTAACAAATAAAAAATTGAAAAGTGGGGCGTGGAATATTATTCGGCCCCTTCACTTTCAGTGCAGCAAACTCAGTCCAGAAGTTCAGTGAGGATCTTTGAATGATCCAATGTTGTCCTAAATGACTGATGATGATAAATAGAATGCACCTGTGTGTAATCAAGTCTCCGTATAAATGCACCTGCTCTTTGATAGTCTCAGGGTTCTGTTTAAAGCACCCTGAACACACCATCCCCACTGTCAAATATGGTGGTGGCAGCATCATGGTTTGGGCCTGCTTTTCTTCAGCAGGGACAGGGAAGATGGCTAAAATTGATGGGAAGATGGATGGAGCCAAATACAGGACCATTCTGGAAGAAAACCTGTTGGAGTCTGCAAAAGACCTGAGACTGGGACGGAGATTTATCTTCCAACAGGACAATGATCCAAAACATAAAGCCAAATCTACAATGGAATGGTTCACAAATAGACGTATCCAGGTGTTAGAATGGCCAAGTCAAAGTCCAGACCTGAATCCAATCGAGAATCTGTGGAAAGAGCTGAAGACTGCTGTTCACAAACGCTCTCCATCCAACCTCACTGAGCTCGAGCTGTTTTGCAAGGAAGAATGGGCAAGAATTCCAGTCTCTTGATGTGCAAAACTGATAGAGACATACCCCACGCGACTTGCAGCTGTAATTGCAGCAAAAGGTGGCGCTACAAAGTATTAGCGCAAAGGGGCCGAATAATATTGCACGCCCCACTTTTCAGTTTTTTATTTGTTAAAAAAGTTTAAATTATCCAATAAATTTTGTTCCACTTCACGATTGTGTCCCACTTGTTGTTGATTCTTGACAAAAATTTAAATTTTTATATCTTTATGTTTGAAGCCTGAAATGTGGCGAAATGTTGAAAGGTTCAAGGGGGCCGAATACTTTCGCAAGGCACTGTATCATGTATCAGCTTGGAGTTCAGACTAGTCCAGGTTCCTCACAGAATTGACTTTGAATAACACTGAGCCACTGGTATTTTTGAAACTTTACAGCTTGACATCAATAAGACTCATCAGAAGAGGAAGATAGAGGGCGCAAGAGGACAAGTTGACATCAGCAATATCAAACGCAATAACCCGCTCTCATGGACTGGGACAGCACAAGAATCATCGATCGGGAACCCGATAAACGCAAGCGCTGACTCAACGTGACTGTTAGAGGGTCTAACTAAAAGTACTGTGATGATGATCCAGGACACTCAACTAAACATTCAACGACATCTATAGACATTTATCATCATTTATGGACATTGGTTATCCACCCCTTATGGACCAACGGCTCTATGTGTTTTTCATCATTGCAGTTCTTGTGTTGCTGTTGATTCTCTGATCTGTTGTGGGCGAATTCAACGGTTCTGTAAAGTCATTTAGGGCAAGAATAAATTTAATTGAATGGAGATCAGGAAACACAGCTCAGACACTATGTACTGTAACAAGGGTTAGGGTTAGGGATTGTAGTCTCTCGAACATGGGACGCACTTCTCGAGAGACCAGCAGGGGACAGAGAAGCTGATAAGGCTGCTGTGGAAACATGTCAAGGTAATAACATCGCTATCTTACATTTGTCTGGTCTAGAGGAACCAAATATTGGATCAATGGCTGACAAACAGAATCGCGCTCATCCTCTTGGGGTTGAATATGTTGTGTAGAGGTGTAGGGTCAGGGAGTGTTTGGGACTGTGTGTTGTCTGAGTGTGTGCGTTTTGTCATGTCTCTCTGATAGAATCTGTTGTAGTGTCATGTATTGTATTGCCGTATGTACTGTACAGTTGAGTGTTTTTAAGTAGTTGTTTGTATAATCGTATAGTTAAGCAAGTCTGAAACTGCTCACACTCACCATCTTTGGGTTGAAGCGGTTGTGGCTGAGCTCTCCCACAAACGTTAGCCGGCTGCGTCCGGTCTGACGGACCAGATGCTTCCTCACGCCGTCCACCGCCTGCAGGTAATCCTCCAAAAGGCTGCACACAGGACAGTCCTGGCTTTAATAACAAAAGGAAAGACAAGCTAACTTGTTTTAGCTACATCTGAAACTGCACCAGAAGGAGGCCTGTCCCTGCGCAATTTACCAATACCTTTCATTTTGGTCAAGATATACATTTTATGTTGTTGACTTGTTAGTAACAGAATCCTTTTTTGGCTTTATCTAGGGCAACATTTTTGTTTTGAATTGTCATTGTCATTGGTTGTCATAAAACAAGTGAATAAAAACATAAATGTAATAAAAAGGGTTTTTAAAAGAAATGTAATATAAATCATAATTAGAAGTATATAACAATGCTACAGAAATGCTCAAAACTCATGTGAAGACGACAGATTTGCAGACAGACAGAGCCACCTCTCTGTTGTCAGTCGGATGTAACACATGTGTTGTGTGTCTAGTATCACTCACTCGTCCTCCACCTTGCCTCCCTGGACCCACTGCTTGAGGAGGTACTCGTAGTAGCTGTCAGCACGGGCCCCCAGCGTGAAGGCCCCTTTGTGGGAGAACTGTCCGGTGTTGGTGTTGATGAACATGGGCACCAGGCCGTCGTGTTTCCCTGGAAGTTTGTGGACAAGCTTCGACACCTCGTTCGCCACGTCCTGCAAAACATATACAATCAGATCTGTGCAACAATCCTCGCTCTCAAAAGAGTTTGCGTCTAGTATTAGTTAATAGCACTCTCGCTTTGAATCCCGTTTGGAATAGGGCCTTTCTGAGTTTAGTTTGCATGTTCTCCCCGTGTTTGCGTAGATTTACTTTGAGTGCTCTAGTTTCCCCAACCACAAAAAACCATGCACTATAGGTATAAATGTAATGAGTGAGTGAATGGATGGTGGAATTGTTGTTTAGGTTATCATTTAAATGAATGTGAAAATAATCAATCTAGACAACTTTTGGGTTGAGTGGAAATCTACAATTAAGGTGTTGAAACCAAGCTAATAATTATCCACATTGTCCACAATTGGAGTGTTTTGTGAAAACTATGTTGCAAGACGATGTCCAACAAAAGGTTAATGTGTAACTTCACCTATTTTGGGGCTTTTCCATGTGTGAGGGTGTGGGTTATCTGTTCTGAAATAAATAACCTGCCTGCAGAGCATCAAGCGGGATTTGGCTTTTGGCTGTGTAAGGAGCACAGGGATCCTTGGCAGCTGCAAAGACATCTCCCTTGTCTGTTGTGTGCTTCTGTCCAGATGACTGTAGTAGAACCGTTTTTTTACAATGGTGTTGGTTGCTTTGGGTGACCTTGGTCTGTAAAAGTCCAAAAAAATAATAAAAAAAATGCTAAAAAAACTTACTTACTCAACATACATGTCTTTTTAGCCTCTGTCCCATCTCTAAATGAGCTTTTTCAGCCTGGAAAATGAAAATGAGATGACCACTCTTTCTCAGGCTCTACCTTACAAAACAGTTCACAGTATTCAGCATTTTCTACTTGCTCCTGTATTATGCTAAAGTTAGAGATGTTATTTTATATTAGTATAGAGTTATTATTGACATATATTGGGTTCTGTAACTGGTAATGCAACACTGAAATTTCCCCACTGTGGGACGAATAAAGAATCTCTTAATGTTATAGAATGTTTTCTATTACGAAGAAGAAGACAGCAAATTGTGGTCTGCTTTGTTCACAAAATGTCTCTTTTTGTTGGGACAAACACAATGTATGGGAAAAAAAGTTCTGAAACCCACCTTTAAAATCTAATTCCACCGTTACTTTGGTCTATTTCACAGCTGCTACTACGGGTATCTGAGTGGAAAATGACAGCAGAGATGGCATTCGCTGAAAGGCAGGACATTTAAGAGTGGGTAAATATGGGGAAGAAGCTCGATAAGCACCGGTGTGTTGCCTACTTACAATCCAAACTTCAATTTTTTCCCCAGCGTTTTTACCCACAATGCTCCGATAATATGACAGCTACACTGCCGAGAAAAACATCTCACACCACAGCCTTAGCACCATTTCTTATGTGAATGCTACTTCAAACTTCACGCCTTTAATCCAGTGCGGACAGTGCATATTAAGCAGCTGGCTCAGGAGAAGTGAAATCTCAAGGCGTGGATATTTTTTTGTTTCGTGTTTTTTCTTTGGCACTGCTCAATCTGTCAGCATGATGGATTTAAAGGGTAGTAGAGCTCATGGCTGTCGTCTCCATCCATCACCGCAGCCAGAGGAGCACTTCCGCCTCCAAACACCCGGCGCTTTTGCCCGTCACACTTGGGGGATGTGTGGACGCAAAGCTCAGGGCGAGAAGTTTGGAGAAATGTCTGATGTCTTAACTGACAGATATTACCATTAAACAAACAGTATCTTAGCCATGTCCTTTGTCAAAGTGTGTAGATGTGCATGTGGATTTGAACGTGTTCAATAAACTGTAATCTCATATTCTCTAGACAGACTTGTGTTGAGTTGCTTTTAGAGCCGAGATGACGATCAGACATCCCGGGTCTGAATCTGGACTTTGACAGGGACACTGAGATAAATGTACACAACTGCATTGTTTTTGCACTCAGGGACTAGGTGGAGTCCAGAGACAGAGAGAGACCAGAGATACCAGAGAGAGAGAGTGTCCAGAGAGACCAGAGAGAGAGGCAAGAGAGAGCGACTCAAGAGACTAAAGAGAGACTCACTGTCTGATGTACATAATGCTTTTCTGCAGACACACTAACACCTCACATTGATATACAGAATGCAAATGCCATTGTCCAAATTATACCTGCAGATTAACCCCTGGGAAGTGTATCTAAATTGTTTTGATGGACCTGGTGTCAGTATTACCCATGTCTTAGTCTTACCCTTTTAAAAGAGTAGTACTAAAAAAGTATGTGGGAGAAAGAGAGTGATGTATCCTGAAATTACAATCCCGGGAAAAACAGCCCCAGTTTTACCAAGAAAGAAATTGTATCTGAAACACCGAGTAGTGTCACAATCTAATCCTAATGTACGGCTTTTTTTTGGAAGTTGTGTTTATAATTGTCCATCTTGAGTTGAATGGACCCGCAGCAATCACAAACAAGTATGTGAGTGTAAAGGACGTCAAAACTAGTCTGTCTACTCTTTGCAACTGTAAAACAAAGCTATTCATTTATTCACTTCTGTTACTGAGCAAACAAAATGTATTCATAATGTCGGCCTGAAGCGTTTGAGAATCACTCCACAAACAAGAAAACAATACATACGTCTGGAGGATCCTTTTCTTGAGTTTATTAATGACAACCAAAAGAGTTCTTCATGCAAATTCGGCCTGACTAATTCAAATGTGCCGAGACGGCGCGCGGGTCACACAGAGGCTGCAGCGCGGCTCCGAGGCGCACTCTGTTCTGTACAGAAAGTTTCCTCTCCCAAAAGAAACTTCACCAGGAACTGTATAGCCTCTGTCAAACTTATTAGCAGCACTAAGCAACAAGCCAAGGGTCTCCTGAGTCAGTCATGAAAAGATATTGTGTGATTAATGAAAGCAGGACAAAAATAATACTTAATTGAATGTATGAGTAATTAATAGAATCATCCACTTGCCAGATGTTATATGCAAGGGATTGCCTTGTTAGAATATGTATACAATTTACACACATTTATGAAGAGCTTTTCAGAGCAAACCAATCCACTCAGAGGAACCCATCACCCACACATTCAAACACCAGTGTACACAGGCACAGACACACAGGGGGCGAGAAGTGTCTTGCCCGAGGACACACAGCGGTTCAGACTAAACACTGAAACGAAGACTTGTTCTGACACACCAGCCTGTGTCTTTCAGGATGTGAGGAGGAAGCGACCAAGGCTATTTGGGACAAAGACTGTTTTCACTCAGGAGGGTTGAGCCTTATGAAGTTTATACTTTCACTCTTGTTTCCTTTTAAACAAGCAGTGAGAGATCAAACAGAGACCAGAGGGTCCAGAGAGAGACTAGAGAAGGCCAGAGAGAGACAAGAGAGAGACCAGGACATACAGCAGTTCTCACTGAACAAGCCTCAGTAAAAAAGATGACCTCATGAGGCTGGTGAAAAGCAGAGTAGTACTGACACACCAGCTTGTGTCTCAGAATGTGAGGAAGAAGCAACCCATCATATTTAGAGCAAAGACCTGTGTTTTTGCTCAGGAGGTTTGAGCCTTATGAAGGTTATATTTTAATTCTTGTTTCCAACTCTCTATCATGAGGTCGTCTCCTTCTTGATACACAGTAATGTGAAGAAAAGCAGTCGTTATAACTCGCTGTTTTTCTGGATCCCGACTTAGAGCAGTGGAACCATGAGTTGACCCACAGTAAATATGCAGCACACCATACAGTTTTAATGAGGAAATAGAAGTTTCAGTGTGACCTGGTAGACCGGGTCCTGGGTGAGGCGGCTGAGCTCTCTGAACTCCAGCTGGACACTGGTGACCTCGGCCACGGTGCTGTCCGCGGTCCAGCGCGGGGGGTGGGCCGTGCCCTTCCCCAGGTTCACGTCCGAGAACGGGATCTTTGACGGGGTTCTGAAGGCAGGCAGGAGCCGCGAGCCCAGGTCCCTCTGTGGGAGAGACTTAGTTGAAGGCTTTATTCATCATAACATAATATAAAACACAGCCAAATGATTTGATGGATGAGATTATCAATCATCTTTTTCTTTGCATAGGGAGCAATTTCACATCGAGAAATGCACTATTTTTTCAGCCCAAGAAGATAAAGCTGGAGTTTGACACTATTTTTCCCTAACTCAATTATCAAAGTCAAGAAATATGTAAGACCTTGAACTTAATTTGAATGTTTAAACTCCAATAACAAAAGTATTTATACTTTTTTTTTTTCCAACCATACACAATTATATAGAAAACTATCTTCAATTATCTAATATCCATATACAAATTTACACACAAATGTGTGATGCAAAACTCTAGAGTACATATCTTGTTTTTCATAAATAATACATGTTGAAAACATAGATCTTTTGCATGCGTGCAAGACAAGGCTGAGAGTTGATTGGCTAAGTGAGGGTGGTCCTCTATTTTTTACTTTTCTGTTTGAAAAAGCAGTGACAAAGGACAAAAATGCGAAAACTAAGGACAGAATCAAATTGTTTTGAGAGCAAAGAACTAGAGTTTGATGGATTTCATGACATAGTTCTATTTTTTGTGGTTTGAAAGTTCCCCAGCTTTGAAGTAAATATAATAATTTCCTGAATCAAAAGAAAGACTCAGGAACAAAGACCCAGGACTCATTTGAAGGACTATGCCTTTTGGCTGGCCTGGGAACGCCTCATGATTCCCCCAGATGAGCTGGAGGAGGTGTGTGGACAGAGTCTGGGCTTCTCTGCTTAGACGGCTGCCCACACCACCCGGCAACAGAGAAAGCAGAAGAAATTGGAATAGAACATTTCTTTCTTGTGTCTGAAACGTAGGAGACAGATTGTGTTTTTTAAAGATAAACCTGTCTGTTCTCATGTGAACTATCTTAATAAGTGCTGACAAACAAATTGGGAAAATGTAGCTCCAGCGTCTAAGAGGATTAAAATGATGCAGTAACAAAACACATTAGTGAATTCCAGACGTACAGCCTTGTCGAGGAAGAGCGGGTCCTTGGTGAGGTGGTACGTGCTGAGAAGACCTCCCAGGATCCGGATGGTTGTTTCAAACAGGTTCACGTCCACGTTCTTATCAAAGGACAGCTCCTTTTCCACCCACTCCCGGGCCTCCGCAAACTCTAAGAACAAGGAGAAGGCACATTATCACAAGCGCAGATCAGTCACGGAGATATGCCGTTATGACACTGGTGTTTAGTGAATAGTACTGAGCATGAGTCACAAATAAAATATAGGATTTGGATATATCTACCAAACATTGCGGGCCCCATCTCCAAGCGGCGGAGTCGATACGGGACACACCTCTAGCGGGTTTATGAACTGTTTGTGAATATTCAATTACTCTTGCTTGCTAATTCATGTAGAAAACTGTTCAATGAGGTCTACCGAGGTAAACGTGTTCTCCACCAATTGCCTCCTGGCTGCTAAGGTTAAAGGGTTTCCCCAGCGAGTGTCTCCACAGACCACAGTCCAAACATTGTATGAGAGGAATCAGTGCTTTTCCCAGCTGAGGGAAAAATACAGGATATCGTACCTGATCTTATAGTATCTCATCTTTATTAGCCCCTATGACCAGTGTCAATGGAGTATGTTATTGTGTTATTATCATATTAATAAATGTAACGTTTAGTCTAGTATGGATCTAAAAACTAGTAGTAAGCAGAGTGAAGAATGTGTGAAACCATCCCCCAGCCATTAAACACAGGAAGTTAAATTAAGGCAAGAACGCAGAGAACATCTGTTTAGAGTAGCCTCAGGCTTACTTTGAGAGGGGCTACTGTTTGTCCTTGTGACGGGGTGAGCCCGTCCCTGAGCACGCTGTCCCACGGAGCGCAACTTCAGATGCGCTCCGTGGGACAGCGTGCTCAGGGACGGGCTCACCCCGTCACATTATTCCTCCCCTCTGGAAGGTTGACACTGTGGGTAAACCGTATAGTCCGCACCACCACGGACCAAACCCGCAGCTTGAGTACGCGGGTACACTTTTCACAGTGATTTATTATTTCCCATTATTATCCCAGTGCAATACAGTGCAATATTTACAAGTTGTAGGCGCATGCTCATCTCAGGTTCTCAGGTGTTGCCTTCTCTGCAACCAAGCATCACTAAAACTCGAGCAGTCAGTCCTATATTTGAGCCGCAAACTGTTGCCGAGAGAGACTCGCTATTCCACCGTAGAAAAAGAGGGCCTGGCAATAAAGTGGGCATTGGACAGTTTACGGTACTATCTCTTAGGTAGAGAATTTGATTTAGAGACGGACCACCGAGCACTAACTTGGATTAACACTATGAGAGATCAGAACAGCCGTCTGACGCGCTGGTATTTGTCCCTCCAACCATTCCAGTTTCAAATTCGCCATCGGGCTGGGAAAGACAATATTGTGGCAGACTTCTTGTCAAGGCTACCGCACATCGCTAGCCTCCCAGAGGGGGAGGGTAATGTGACGGGGCCACACAGCTTGTCTTAGTACTGAGAGCACCGCACTGGGACGCGCGCTCTTTTTCTCTGGAGCGTCCGTGTTATGCGCGCACGTACTACAGCAGCGTTTACATGGCTAGTTCTCTGTCTGGGGGGGAGTGTGAGTGCGTTTGGTGAGATCTCGGGTGCACACTAGGTCTCACCGTCGTGCTACTCACCGTTCGCGTGTGCGCGCACGTGCGTGCGCTCCTCGGGACTGCGCGTGTGTGTCCCGTGGGTTGGCCAAACAGAGGCAGAGACGCACACACACATTATAAGTGTTGAGGAGCCTCATGTGATCCTTATTTTGTGTTTTTGTTTCTTATGACTGTAAAGGGGGATTATTCAGTGTGGGGATCATCCTATTCTTTACTGTGTAGTGGGGGACTATTTCTATAGTATTGTTTTGGGGGTAAATGGACTTTAAAGTCAGTGAATGTATTTTGTGTTTGTCAAACGCCCAGGGGAGGGGCTTGTGCTTTAAGAGCAGGACCGGTCTGGCCTGCTCGAGTTTTAGTGATGCTTGGTTGCAGAGAAGGCAACACCTGAGAACCTGAGATGAGCATGCGCCTACAACTTGTAAATATTGCACTGTATTGCACTGGGATAATAATGGGAAATAATAAATCACTGTGAAAAGTGTTTTTTGACTGAGCCATTGTGTTTTTGGGAAAAGACCCCACAACAGTCCTGAACAGGGCCCAGACTGGAGCAACCAGTCTGCCACGTTGCCTGTATCCTGTAACCTGTATTCTGTCTTTTATATATTAAACCTTTTTATATATTTAAGCAGAAGTTGTAGTGTCCATTCATCATCGAAGGATAAACCGTGGCTGAACCAGCGTTAACATATTTTGGTCCTTCTTGAGCCGTATGTCAAAACATCTTTTTTTTTCGGAGCTGAACATCATTCCAACTGGAGATCTGACAACAGCAGCGAGGCTTAGAGGTTGCAGGTGGAGGAAAAAACTGCAGCAACAGTCTCTGTGTGGGGTTTGATCAGCTTCGAATTTCGGATTGAAGACACAAAAGCCACGGACATCGCGATAACAGGCAAGTGTGAATTTACTTTTGAAGTTGGGGACTCAAAAAAGAGGCCGGGGATAACGAGGCTTATCCTTTTAATAGTCGAGGGCTATTTCTTAGGCCTAGGATAACGGGGTTTATCCTTCTAATAGTCGGGGAGCTATTAAAGACAGTCAAGGGGGGGCCCGGAATAACAACAGGTTATTCTTTTAGATAGTCTGGAACTATCATAGACTGTATAATAACGGGGTTATTATTAAGAGTAAGTCGGGGACTACTTTTTACTGCAGTTAAAAGTGAACGGGGTTCATTTTGAATTAAAGACGTCTGAATGAATGTGTGTGTGAAAGGAGATCAATTCAATACTTGAAGCACCGGACAACCAGAAACCTTGCGGTGATAACGAAAAGTTGTCGACTTGGTGAAGTAGAGTCGGATTGCATCTCATTATGTTTTAAGTAATCGTGAAAGTGGTCTAAAACAATTACATTCCTTGTGATTAAACACCTAGGAGAAACCGGATGAAACATTAGGTTTTATCTAGAAGCTTGTTTCTCGAGGAAAGTAATTTGGCCCATGAGGCATTCCACTAAGATCGTTTACAAATGTGTAATTAATATCCAATGTTGTATAAGCAATAGTTATTAAATAGAAGTTGAAGATATCTAAGTAATTTACTAAAGAGTAAATATGGGTTCATCTTGTACTAAAACGGTAGATCAAAAAGGAGATCCTAAGTTTATGCAGAGAAAAAATCCTGAATCAGTTAAATATTTGAAAACCTGGAAAAAGAAATATGGTTTTGAGGGTAAACTAACCCTGAAAGAGTGTGAAATACTGGTGATGAAAGTTAGTTTAGGACTTAAATCCAAAAAGTTGCCATCTGAAAAACAATTGCATGAGCAGAAAATGGCAGAGGTGTGGTTAGCAGCAGCAAAGTGTAGGGATAAGCAAATTAAAGAAAAGAAGAGTGAAACGAGCCTAGTTGCCTTTACAACAGAAGAAGACAACTTAGTCCAGGCAGGGAGGCGCCATGTGCAGCAGCAGCAGCAGCAGCAGCAGGCTGTAGTACAGGCTCATAACCACACAGCAGCACCACCTCAGTACACCCCACTGCAACAGACAACAAATCTATTCCCAGATAATTCTGTAAAATTGCAGGATAGTTTGTATCCACATGCAGAGCTAGAAGCAGCAGCACAGCCACAAGTCTGTGATGTACAAACACCTGTTGCTACTAGATCACGGCATCCAATGAACGCGTCTTGGAGCAAAAGTTTTGGGAGCCTTTTCAGTCCAAGGTTTGACTTCTCAGAGAGAGGTGCAGATGCATTCCCAATGATAGAAGTCCCAAATCCCACTCATGATCCACAAGTGGTTGGAAGTTTGCCTACTATGTATGTGTTTCGTACTTGGACGAAAGCAGACATAATTAAAGCCACAGAAAGTGTCCCAAGCCATAGAGAAGACCCAGATGGTTTTTCTGATGGTATGAGACAACTGGTGGACATGTATAGGCTTAACGGAATTGAAATTAGGGACATTTACATGACGAAAATGGGAGTTGACTGGGCAAGATGCAGACAGCACTATAACCCAAATGATAATGCAAACCCACCTGTGCTTCTTCCTGCAGCAGACCCACTCATTAATGATAGATTAAATACTCTACATAATCAAATCAGAGAAATGTTCAAAACTTTACCTGACTATGGGAAGTTAGCTCAGGTAAGACAAATGGAGGATGAGACAGTAGTAGATTTTAGAGTGCGGTTTGAAACAGCCTTTAGAAAACACAGTGGGTTGAGGGACAATAATGCAGCGGAGCGTGTAATTTGGGATCAACAGTTTAAACAAGGGATGGTGGCTTGTGTGTGTATTTTGTATTTTAATGTGTGAAGCGCTTTGTGACCCTGGTCTGTGAAAGGCGCTATACAAATAAACTTTACTTACTTACTTACTTACTTAATTTAAGACCAGAAGTCTCTGAATGGATAAAGAGGAATTTTGTTGGATTGCCTACTGCGACGCTGCCTGATTTCATAACACATGCTATTCATGCTGAAGTGGTTGCTAGAAATAAAAAGAGAAATAAAGAGAGAGAAGAGCAAGCCAGATCAGTAGATTCTTTCTTGCAAGATTTAGGAGACTTGTGTTACCAGAGAGCACAAGGCCAATCAGCAAGGAGGGAGCAGAATAGAGGCAGAGGTCAAAGCAGAGGGAGGGGGCAGATGAGGACTAGGAGAGAGAGAAAGTTGGACAAAAGCAATGATTATTGTTACATATGCAAAAAGAAAGGACATTGGGCGAGAGAATGTGAAGCATGGGCCAGAGAATGTGAAGCAAGTTCAGATGAGGACAAGAGAGAAGAATATGTAGAAAAAAAAGGGAGAAATCAAAAACATCACAATGCATGACTAGGGAGTCAAAACAAAACTAAAGTTCTGACAAAAAGTAATGATGAAACAGTGAAAATTCCAAATTTAAAAATGACTTCGATAATTGAAAATGAAAATGAATATGATTCGGACTCAGCAAAACAATGTGATGAGGTTATAAATTTTACTCAATTAGATATTTTTCATGTGTCTAAACCAGAAATAACACTTTACATTGAAGAAAGGCCCTATGTGTTCC